AGTGGATTGCGATTCATACTTGACATTGTTATTTTCATCATCAGAATCACTCGTATGGGTTGTTCAATCTGTCATTTTGGAAGAGATCTACGCTGCAGCTTTGTCTGTTTTCCTCTTTTAGATTCTGGAACTCTTTTGTTTCCTGTCATGTGTTGTCCAGTTGAAGACTGCAAAGTTTGCAAGGGTGCTTTGGAATCATTTGGAACCTGCCGTTGGGAAGAAGACTTAGGCTTGATTACCAGCAACTTTTTTCTTCCTAAGTTCATGAGGATCCTTTTGTTCTAATTGCTGCTTTGCTCCAAGTCATAATTTGGAGAAAAGATCTTTCTTTTCATCAGGAGCTTGATGTTTGAAAGATGTTTGGAGCAGCAGTAGTTTGGAACTCTGACTTATAACACTTTTTTTTTTTTCATCTGCCGCAGTTGCTCTCCTTCAGGAGAATAGTTTGTGCCCATAAAAGGCATGATCTTTGAAAGATATCAAAGGACTTTTCACCTCCTTAAGTCCGTTGAGTTTCTTTTTTACAGCCAAAAGTCTCTTTGTTACAGGAGTTCTCAAGAGAGTTTGGCATGCACTGAATCAAGATTCTTATCAGAGGCCTTATGCAGCATTTAGAATGTTAGCATGTAAGCCACTCTTCTCTGCAGGCAGTACAACAGTGCCACTACTATAGATGGTGGATTGCAGTGTAAGTGCGATGAGATGATGGTCAGTCCCACAGCAGGGAAAGACTTATTCTTTTATGCATTATGGTTTTCTGGCAAACAAATATGTTCACTTGAAGTGCTGGGCTCTTTTCTGGCAGGCAGGACGATTGGTTGCATGCTTCTCTAGTGGTTCAAGCAAATGAGCACCAAGTGAAGACTCATTTGCAGGTTCTTTGCAAGTGAAAAGTTCACCTTATCCTAGCCCGGTCCTGTTGAGGAAAGACTCACATTGTGGTTTAAAATTAACAAAATGCTGCCTATCTTGCTCTGTTTGATATGATTATTTGTCCAATCCTCCTAGAACTATTTGAGAAAGGTCTCAAATATTTTATGCAGAGATTGTAATCACCCATAACTCAGTCTCTTATACCAAACGGTGTGGTTCTTACAATAGGATCTTGTTATGGTACTAATTAGTATGAACTTGTTGGAAGAGAACCGAAAGATCTCTAAGAGTTTGAGAGACTTGGGAAAATGTTTTTGAAATTGTTTTTCTGTTTGCCTTCTTCAGATCAGTATTTTTATCATATCCAAAAGAATACAGCTTTTCCTAATAACTGCTCCGGAGGAATAGTCAACTTCCTTTGTTGGAAGTAACTGAATTCCTACATATAGGAGAAATGAAAGTTAAAACTTAACATAACTTGTCTACTCTCAGGAAGTTTATTATATAACTAAAAAAATCAAGAATGATATGTCATTATAATTAAATAAAACAAGAACAATAATGTTGTTTCAGCTATATGTCATCAGTTGGCGCATAATAATACATCCTTCTTGACTTGGTGTTCATTTGTTAAGTCACCCCAGAAAAGCAAACAACCATGGATGCTATCTGCCAGAAAAGAACCGAGCAGTTCAAGAGAAAAGATACGTCCTACTATCATTTGCCCAGCAGAACATAATGGGAAGAATGAGCTTGTTTTCCCTTCTATGAGGCTCACTATCATTTAACTTACATATTTCACAAAGCAAATGCACCATCTTTAATTATGACGCTGTTGTACAGCCTGCAAAAAAGAGGGGCTTATACACTAAGATTCCAACTGCATAGACGAGTAAAGATTTTGATAAGAATCTGTAACTGCTGTGTGCCCAACTCTGAAGCAACATTTCGATGTAAACCAATGGATACAATGGACTTGAGAACTTGAAGGACTGGTCCAAAATCCTTCACTATTTTTGAAAGATGATGTAGCATGCGGATTAAAGGTTTTGAGGGATAGGAAAACGAAAGAAAATAAAAGATAAATACGATTAAGATTGTAGGAATTTGCAACATTTGCTGTTACAATGTCGTCACAACTACAGTTACAGGGTTGTTAGGCACTTAATTTAATGAGAGAAGCTCAATAGTGTTAATAATAAGCAATTTATTTAATGATGATGAACCATCCATATATTTTGTAGGATGTCTAAATAGCCTATCATGACTAGTATCTTTAAATAGGAAAAAATAATAAAAGACTATTAATTAAATAAGAATTAAAAATTTAACAAAATATGAAATACTTGCTAAAATATGATAATTATAATAATTATGATAATAGTTCTACCTTGGTAAAAACTGTGCTAGATGGTCCCACATCAAATAGTCATGTTTTTTATGGGAACAAACTATGTCCCTGAAGGCCTGCTATATGTTGTATTCTCAACTGGACAACACATAGCAGAGGGAAAAAAGAGTTTCAGAGCCTAACAAGGGAAGAAAAATAGAGATGCAGCCTAGACCTCCTTCAGACCACTAGATTAAGCCACCTAAGCGTGTGATTCTTCATGGTGACAACAATAACAACATAAAAATTGTAGTCTGTTCTCCAAAAATTAACTAGGCCGTGAAAAATCTGAGGAAAATTGATGATTATGAAGATGATATTGACTCCATGCTCTGCAACTTTGGAGACATCCAGAAGGAGAGAAGATAAAAAATTTGTGAGCGAGGATCAAATAGTGAGATTGTCATTCAAAGAAGGAAGAAGGCAAGAAATTTCTTTGCCATGCTGGCAGCAGGTACCCGGGATTTCTTTCAGCTGCACCTGCTGTTTTTTTTATCAATAGCAGTTGGTGACCTTATTTGGGCAAGCCCATTTTTATCAACCTTTGTGATAATTTACTGTAATTCCTTCATCCATTCCTACTGCACTTCACCACTTAATCACATGTGTCTGCATAGAACCAACAGGATTGACTCTTCCTAAGGATTTGTGTTTGGGTTGTTCTAGAACTAGGGACAGAGCAGGTACTGGTGTAAAACCAGTATGAGTAGGTTATGGTGCCGCAAGAGACCAATATACATCGTCTACTGGGTTGCTTTGTTCCTTATAACAGCCTCCTGGAACCTTTACCGAACTTTGGTGCTTGAGGTTGAGGACAAGCATCTTTTTGAGATATTGGTACAAGCCAACAACAGATGACACACGGCTGAAGCAACATATTGTTCTTGTTTTAATTTTCACTTTTTATAGACTAGGAACTAAGTTAGTACCGACAAGAGTGGTTAATTACTCCTTAGGAGCAGCTGTCTTCCTTTGTATTATATTAAAATTCTGATCCGGAGATGACAGAGAAAAAAAATTTCAGAGAAACTCTAAGAGATCGTTCACTCCCTCAACAAACTTATACTAATTAATGCCCTAACAATATCCTATAGCAGGGACCATAACAAGTAATTGCTTACTGATCATCCTCTAATCTTCTATCCTGTTACAAAAGATTATTGGAATTACTCCTCTAAGAAGAAGAGTACAGCAATTAGATGCATCTGGTTAGTGTGTTAATGTCTCTGAGCTGCAGGTAAGATATAACTGTTTCTTCAACCATCCATAATGTCAATCTGTAACACTGATGAGCTTCAGGAAAAGCACTATAAGCACTAGTATTAGGTGAAAGATATAGGGAAAATCATTTTAATCTCCAGTTCATGTCTCTAATTTTTGTTGTCTTGGGCCAGGTAAAAACAATTATGAAAATATACGCAAAGGAGAAATATATCCTGATGGTGAACCAGCAAGAAAAAGACTTTGAGGTGTTTGTTTCGTTCAAGGTATGCATGTATGATATCTTGGGCATATTTATATGAAAGTAAGTATATTACAATATGTTTAGAAGAAAGGAGAATTAATTCATTTGTGTCTTAATTTGCACCATTTACTTCCACTTTGCACTATTATTTAGATCAAGAATTCAAAGATTTAGATTGCTGTAAAACAGAGGTTTTATATGATTTTGACATTCTCCAACTTATCTGTTTCAGGTAAACCGGAATTTATTATTAAAAAAATTGTGAGCAACTGAACATCCTTCAAAAACACACAGTATAGATGTGACCATAAACATGTCCAACCGGCCCCAGAACAGACGCACATTCAGACATCCATAAAATAGACAGAGAGATGAATGACTTAAGATGCAGTTGCTGAAAAAAAAAACAGAAATAATCCTGGAAAGACCACAAAGCTGCTCAATCCAACAATTATATCTACTCCAAAAAACCCCATTCTGTGAAGCATTTGCTACAGTCTCAAATGAGTAAATCATACACTAAACCAATCACAACATGCAGTGGTCAGGGCCACTCTGAAACTCCTGGTTTATATAGGAGTGTAAAACTACTTTATACATATATCAAATAGCTTTAGTTCAAACAAAAAAATCACTATCCATAAAATTTAACATCAAATTTGACAGATTATGAAGATGAAGTTGGGAGTTTAAAGAAGAAAATTTAGAATATCTTTGCACTGGTTTGTGTTATAAAAGATCAAAATTATATGATGTTCACTTATAGATGAAATGAAACTTTATTGTTTCTTTGTTGAGACAGTGTTATTGAAACTTGAAATTTTGTTGCAGGTGGGTGCTACAAGCATGTCAGTGCTACGAAGTGTTTGGCAGACCTACTGGCTGCATGAGAACTTTATATCCACAAATAATATATTAGATCAGATAAAGGAAAGCCTAGTGAAGATGGAAGCTAGATTTGTTGATTTCATCCAACAATTAGATGGAGCTGGATGGGATACACATCAAATAAACTTGAAGGTCCCCAAGGAAATCACCATTGATGAAAGTATCAGCTAGTACGTGCTTATGTTGTTTGTATTCTTCCGAGGCTCTTTCGAGTTGGCTTTAAAAACGGGACTCTTGGCCTGGATGAGTTTTCTGGGTGAAAATCAGGTTGCAACTGGAGGTTTTGAACAGGATTTCATAATCCTGCGCATAATCAAATACAAATGGGAGGAGATATCAAGGGGATCCAAGTTACACCCGTCCAGTTTTGGTATAATTGAGATTCTATAGATGAATATGTACACATTTTGGCATCTTTAGTCTTCAATGTAGACCATACAGCTTCTATAAATCCTAGCAATTCAATAGTCCTCTTTCGATATTAGCTTTTTCGTATGACAAAATGACCGCCTGAGGCTCAAGTTCAAAAATCAAAACCATAGGATGGATTAATCTTATTAGCCGAAACAGGAGATGCCAGAACATTGCATCAAAAAGTCCGCCCAAGAGAGCGTTTCTTCTGTTGAAAAAAACTTCGTAAACGACATCGTTTTTGCTTAATTAAACGCGGCAAAATCAAAACCGGTGCATTTAGAAAACAGTAACAGCGCCAGCTCGGCAGTTTCTTTTCTTCTACCCCAACTCCCGAAACCCTAACATAGGTGTCAGCAACGATGCTTTTATCTGTTGAAACCACTTTCTTTCCAATCATCATCACCAAAACTACGCTCTCCCCCCAGGTCAAATTAAATCAGCATGTGCAGAATCAGAGTTTGAGCTTCCCATTACAACGGGCCCTCGCTGAATACCTCCCCCAGGTCTCCTCTCTGCACCGCGAGAGAGCATTCTGTCATTGGAGGTGGTGAAGAGAAGGCCGTCAACGGGAGATTTCCCGGCACCGAGAATTCGTCTCAGAAAGATGTACTTCCCGCGGTCTGCAGCGAGAGTTGATGCCAAGACGCGTGGCGGTGATCATGGACGGGAGCAGGAGGTGGGCTCTATCGCGGGGATTGGCAGTGGGGTGCGGTTACGAGGCCGGTGTTCGGTCACTGAGAGTGCTCGTGGAGCTCTGTTTAAAATGGGGAATCAAGGTTCTCACCGTTTTTGCATTCTCTAGAGATAATTGGTTTCGGCCCTGGGTCTGTCTCCTGCTCTTTCCCTCATCTTTTCCAATTTTTCTTTTTCTTGGCGGTACTATTTTAATTATTGAGAAGTGAATTGGAATGTCGAAGTTATTTGTGTTCTTGTGTTTGTATTGAAGTGATTCCTTCATTTATATTCTTGTTTAATGATTGCTCCGGTTGTGTTTCAGGTGGAAGTTGAGTTTCTAATGAGTTTACTTGAAAGGGTGTTAGAGGAGGATACGCAGAGCTTTTTGAGGTACATAATTCAAATTTTACTGAATTGAATTTTCCCATTCGATTACTTGTTCAAGTTAATGGTTAACCCCAAAGCGTTGCATTGTCATCTGTAAAAGAATATAGATTGTTGGAGTATTCGAAGTTAAGTTAGGAGCTCTAATGTTAAAGCTGCCGTTAGTGACACCAATCATTATACAATTTACTCAAGATGCGTTCCTTGTTACCCATAAACTTTACCTCATAATAAGAATATTGCATATGATACTACACCCAGACAAAGCCACTGAAGAATGTGATGCAGAATTACTCCCTTTGGTTTGTTTTCTGCAGGTTTACCCTTCCAGTAACGAATGCCTTTGGATGTTTCTAAATTTATCACTTGGAATTTGATTTTTTCCTGTGTGATGATATATGGACGAACAAAAGTATCTTCTATGATGGAGAAGATGTTCAAAGCACCTAGGATGCTTAGAGACTCTTAATGAAGGAACCCTCAGTCGTTGGCTACTATGATAACTTCTCAGGAAGACTTCAATGAACATACGTGATTTGTTTACTTATAGCAGGGAAAACTATCGAATTTCAGTTACTATGCTAGAAAAAAGGACATAAATATAAGCGTCCTCAATCATTGGCTAGTTTGATAACTTCACAGGAAGACTTCAATGAACATACATGATTTATTTGCTTATAACAGGGAAAACTATCGAATTTCAGTAATTGGAGATATCTATGAGCTCCCGCTGTCCCTACAGGAACTGATAATCAATTTGCAAGAGACCACAAAGAACAAAACCCAATTCCAGCTGATTATAGCAGTTAGCTATAGTGGAAGATACAACATTATCCAGGCTTGCCAAAGAATTGCATTGATGGTGAAGGATGGACTTATTGAACCCAGTGACATCAATGAGTCTTTGATTGACGAGGAACTAGAGACAAATTGTACCGATTTACCCCACCCTGATCTACTAATACGGACTAGTGGTGAACTTAGAATCAGCAATTTCATGTTATGGCAGTTATCATACACTGAATTATTCTTTTCAACGTCGCTTTGGCCTGATTTTGGAGAACCTGAATTTTAGAAACATTGTTATCATATCAGCAAAGGCAGAGACGTTTTGGTGGATGAAATTGGTGGGCAATTAAAGTTGTTTAGTGTTAGATCATAGAGTTGTTCAATTAATAGCTTGGAACTTATTTTTTTTAAGTGATTTTTGAGATCTAGATCAGCTTTATCATTTATAAGCTTAAAATCCACTGTTGAAACCATGATATCTAGGAGGTGTAACTTATTAAGAGATGCAGAGGTTGTTGTAACATGACTGCAGGCACTGAGGAAAGGTTGAAGACATTTTTGGAACAACATGAAAATTTTTTTTGAATCTATTAGGTCTCTTTTTCTTTTTCCTTTTAATTTTCATAAGCACTACAAAGATACTGTACTCGAGTTCTGAATTCCATGTGAAAGAAGTATTACTTGTTGTAACCATGCCCATTATTTTCTTGTACGTGTATGATGCCAAAACTTCAGTTGTTTTCATCAACATGCTGCAATGCTATTCTCTCTTTGTATATATTTGTTCAAGAAAAGAACATGTAGTGAACTGCAAAGTTTGATTATTGAATTTGTGTAATGTTTTGTTCTTTTTCTTTTTCTTGTGTGGAAATGTCAAAGTGTTTAGAATGCCACTGATATTTCTTATTTAGTTACAAAATTGAGTAGGGATGTAGGAGGTTGGGCTTAGTACTGAGAAGAAAACAACAGGAGTGTTGCACTGAGTCCCTTTGTCTCTACTCTTTCTTTTTTAGATAAAGAAGGAAGTATATTTAAAGTATAAACACTAAGGGAGTGTTGCACTGTACAAAATATTTACAAATTAATTAAAATATCAAAAATTTTCTCAAAATCATTCCATCCATAATAAACATTAAGGCTCAGAATTGAAAGCTCAAAAAGTATTTAGCAGTCTTATCTCTAATTCTTTCAACATCTCTCAGCATACCCATCGAACATTCTGTGTCTGTAAAAAAAAAAAAAAAAAAAAAAATAGTTAAACGTATGAGTTTAATAATTTTCGATTTCTTACGAATCACACCCTAAGTCCAAAATTCATCCTTAACCCAAACCCTTTTATCTCTACTCTTAAAAACATAAATGATGAAATTGCCCTGTTTTATTTTTGGACAAGGAATTGGCTTTCATTTATTTTTTTTATTGTTCTTAGTTGAGTTGGGCTACCAAATGATTGCTTCAAATTTACTGGTGTACTTTCTTGCTGGCATCTTTGATTGACCAAAAAATTTTTGTACTTACCCCATTGTCTCTTGTTTTACCAAATGGTTAAAAACTTAAGTAAGAAATATTTGATAAAAAAACAATATTTGGTAATTTTATTAAAAAAATCTGCCAATCCAACTACATTCATTGATTGATTCTGGATTCCAATAAAATTGACGTACCACCTTTTGTTTTGGAAAATATTAAATTACTAAATGAGTTACCCATCTTTTCAATTGTCACCTTCTTCTTAATTCATCTAATTAAAATTAATTAAAATCAATTATTTTAAGCTCCTAATTTAATTAAGGTTGCAGTATCTTCATTTATCATCTATTTCTCAGATAATTATAATCCTAGTTATATATATAATTAAATTACCACCACCTTGACCGTTGAAAATGAGAAATAAATTTTTAAAATTTTAATAATTTTTTTTTTTTATTTATGAAAAACAAAATTACGGAGACGCGCAAACTCGTAATTCGTAAAACTGGCAACGGCTGTGTATTCATCATTTGGATTTTGGTACCAAAAAAAAAAAAAATCTTCTTTACTAAGAAATCCAACTGATGAGTTTCGTAGTATAAAATATTTTCCATTATGAATAACTTCTGAGATTATGAATTTTAATTATCCGAATTAAAAACCATAATTTCTTTTTTCTTTTTTCTTTTTTATTAAACAAAAAAATATATATAAACAAAATTCCATGGAACGCACAGGTGGGCCGCTGTGCGGGGTCCACCTTGATTACCAATCAGAACACGCTAAGTTCACCACCGAACCGAATTGGAGACTCAGCATTTAATCAAACCGTTCAGGCTGCCACGTGTCTTTAGATCCTCACATTAATCGCCACCTCTCTATGCGTTTATTATTAGGATGAGCGTGACATATGGATTCTTTCTGTGACCCAACTGCATCACAGGCAGGTGAGTTTAGGAATAAAAATTTGAGGATATGGATTTGGGGGCATATTTGAGGGTATTTTGGTAATTCTACTCACTCATCTTCCTCCACCTCCAACTCAACTTGGTTTAAATAAACTCAACTCACAGATTATACTCTATGGAATATGGTAATTACGTGTGCTCTACGCGATACCTGAAAGTAGCTTTCTCGTTCTCCTAAAGTGTCAAGTGCACAGAGACGATCTGCCGTAACAAAGATTTCCATTCAAGTACATAATGGCTTTTTGAAAATTAATAAATTCAGGTTTTCTGTTTTCTTGTTCTTCTTGTTTTTTGGGTTTTTGGAGTTTTAGCAGAAAGGCTTGTTAGAGGTTGTTTCAAAATGGGAATCAGTTGAGGGGTAGGCGCTTTGTTTGGATGGGAATTTCAATTTCTGGAAATTTCTCAGGAGGCAGAAAATGCGAAAATCATTCAAGGATTCTCTTAAGGCCCTTGAAGCTGATATTCACTTCGCAAATTCCTTGTAAATTCCTTTTCATCTTCTTTCTTGTTTATTTGTATATGTTTTCCTTTGTTCATGATCAACTTTTCTTTTCTAAATTTTTTTTAAAAAAATTATTATATTGCTGAATTTAACTGATTTAGGAAAGCAATGATCTCGCCTTTAATTGTCTTGAGTTCTGCAAAAGTTTTCATCCTAAGTTTATGCCGCTTTCTTACTAATTATTAGTATTTTTTTTTTCTTTTTATTTCTTAGCATTCTTTCATCTCGGCTTAGCAAATATTCCATATATCACTTTATGTAGATTTAACACAATATATATATATATATATATATATATTTAACACTAGTACCTAGAATGTGATTCATTGATTCTCTGCAATCTTCTTCTTCTTAATACGAACCAAAAATTTTTGCTCTCTGATTTTAGCAAAGAGTATTCTCTTATTGATTGCTTGCTAATTTATTTCCATTTTCTTTAGTGGTGTTCTCGTCCTGCGCATGCTATAATTTTATAGTGCTATATGTCGGAGCTATCCACATTGGAGAACCAATATGATCCGGAGTTCTTGTTTGCATTTAAGGCTTTGTCTCTCGAAATTGTTAAACAGGATTTGAACCTTTTTCTACTTGGTTTACTGGTTGCATATTAAGTGCAGAGAAAACACACGATCCACTAACTATAAAGTTGGTAAGAACATTGAAAATTATGTGGGCTCTGGCCAGGAAGACACTTTCTCTGGTAAATCCAAAAACGGGAAAGCGCTGCTCTTCAGCTCCAGTTCCTTCCCTGTTTAAATTTTCTAGAGCCATGGGTTATCTTTCATTGTCATCAAAATGGTGAACTATTACATGTTTGGTGCAAGATTGTTACACTTTTAAGAATGTTCCCTATAACCCTTCTAGTTGTTTGTGGCAGGGATGCCAGAATTTTGTTTGGTCAATTCTTAGCAATTGGTTTCATTTTTCTGATTGTCTGTATATATGAATTGCCTGAATCATTTATTCCCCAGCTTTCTAGTATGAAGTTCCAGATTTGACAAACATTTTTTAGGTTTGACATATATTAAATGACAGCTGGATGCACCTCGTTCATATACCCGATTAGTCTTTTTTATTCCTCAAAACTACATTGTGTTTTCAGGGCATCTGACCATCCAAGGGACTATGATGGTGCCTGTCTTCAGATGAGAATATCCTACAGTCCAGCTGCTCACTTTTTCCTTTTCCTTGTCCAGTGGACTGATTGTCACTTAGCCGGGGCCTTGGGATTGCTTAGAATCCTTATATATAAGGTAGTATGCAATTATCTCTTTAACAATGCTAGTTGTCTATGTATTTTCTGAATCCATTTCTCAGTGCAATCTCCTGTATCTGTTTCTGGGCATCTTTTGTAAAAGTATCGGCTTTTCCTTTTTCTTTATCAAGCATTGAAACAGTTTGATGTTTTTCCATAGGCATATGCAGATGGGAAGACCACAATGTCCGTCCATGAAAGGAAAGCTAGCATAAAGGATTTCTATGGTCCGTGAAAATTTAACAATTTCATCTTGTGCATTTTTAGTGTAATCTTCTTGTTTATTTTATATTTCTTGGGCATTAAGGTAAACACCCATCAACCAGAGTTGGTGCAGATCACTTCTGGATCTCAAGAATGCTTGACTTGCATCTTGGAATTGATTTGATCACTTAATTTTAGTTGAGCAGTCCATTTTGTTGTTCTAAAACATATAACGTTTTTAAATATTGTTTATGAATTTTCTTGGACAGGGGTGATATTTCCCACATTGTTACAACTTCAAAAAGGAATAACAGATGTAGAAGAAAGAAAGCAGAAAGAAATTTGCGCGACCAAGTATAAAAGAAAAAATGAGGTGGATAAAGGGAAGCTCTCCGAGATTGATCTAGAGAGGGAACAAGAATGCAGCATTTGCATGGAGATTCGAACAAAGGTTGTGTTGCCAAATTGCGGCCATTGCATGTGCATGAAATGTTACCGAAGTTGGTAAGCTGTCTCACAAATTATCATACTGGATTCTACCATCTTATGGTCATATCCTCTCTTTCATAATTTCCTAGGAAACTAGTAAATATACTCATGACTTTGGACCATGCACACAATTGCCAGTATCATACATCATTTTTTCTCTTCCTCCAGTAATTCTGGTATTGTACCTAAGACGTAGTGAGTATTCAAACCCAGCCTCTGCCTTGCAAGAGTAGAGGCTGCCTCTGCAGCATTTGAATCAACTGCAGGGGGATACGATGGGTGAATGTAATTCAGAGCTTGAGGTACGACTTATATGCCGGAGGTACTTCTTTCAGATTTCTAATTTATGAAGTACACACAAGTTGCCCTTAGTAGGGAGCCAAGATGCTTCCCTCATTTTTGAAGAGAGAACGGGTTTCATCCTGACTGGAGCTATGCGCTCATTGTAGCAGGCTTCAACAATCAGGAAAAGAAAAATGTGCATCTATTCCAAAATCAGATAAAGGGCCTTTTCAATAAACTAGTATGAAATAACTTATCATGTTTTAAAGTGTTTATCTGTATTAAAAAGAACTGCAATGAAGAGAGTTGTATCGGTATTTATTGTTTTGAAGTCTCTTTTTCCATTAAAAAGAAGTTAATATGAATCGAAGAGAGTTAAGAAGTTCCTCATTGCGCCTACTTCAATTTCATCTTATTTTCCATGGCGTCCTCTTCAACCTGACATCAAATTCTTGTGTTCTTTGCTCCATATAGGCGTGAACATTCACAATCATGCCCATTCTGCCGGGATAGCCTTAGAAGACTAAACTCAGCTGATCTCTGGATCTACACCTGCAACAACGAGATTGTTGACTTGTCCTCAATCTCCAGGGAAAATCTGAAGCGGCTTTTCATGTACGTTGATAAGCTGCCACTCATACCAGATCCAATGCTCGTTTCATATGATCCTTCTTGCCAGTGAAGCCTTGTTTGTTTAGGGAGCAGTCATTTGTATATAAACTGTGCGCTTGATGCATTTTTTATGGGTTCAAGTATATAGTGATGGGCTGCACGTACACCTCGTTGGACAGTTTCTCATTACCAAATTTATGCGTATAGAGGTTCCATTCTTAGAATTATCTAATGATATTCTAGATTATGTATAATCTGCTGGTTCAAATTTGTATCTCTGTAATCTGGGCTTATGTGAGTCAAGAGAAAACTTCAAAGAGCTAAAACAAAGTGGAAAAGAAGAGAAAACCTCACGTCTAAGCTATAATGCTTTTTTTAATGGAAATATTAGCTATAATACTTAATTACAGAAGATATCCGCGGTGAATATCCAAGTATAACAAAATATCAGTGTCACAGCATGAGCTGATGTGCTATATTCCAAAATACCAAACACCATAGCTCATCTAACAAGTCAACATATGCAAAATCTATCACTTAGATCAAACCATAGTGTTTGCCAAGTCATGAAACAAAATTTATCGGATTTCAGTCCTCTTCATCTTCTTCCTCCTCATCTTCTCCATCTTCAACCTCGTTCTCCATATCTTCCTTCTCCTGCAAGAAAAAGACATTCGGACTCAAATCTATAATCTTGATGGTGGAAGGGAGACATTATCAGAAATACACTGGTAAAAGTGATTGAACAACCAGAGGAAGTTCAAAACAGAGTGAAACAACTGCTTAGAACTTTTGGGCGGAGAAAAAAGTTTTCCCTTAACATCATCTGTTGACTATCGACACTATATCACAGCTTGACCAGCAAATTATGCACCAAGGTACACCTAAGATTGGTCTAACTTGCTGAGCCAATTTCTTTTCTTAAGTCCTTTTGGGAGCAGCGTTGCCGCTGCACCATATTCAGCCCCATGGTAGATTCAGGAATATGGAAGCACAAATATATTAGCATGATTATACCTCTCCACTTGCTTCATCCTCTTCATCATTCACCTCAGATCTTGATCTATCTGATTCATCACTACGATCATTCTGTCAAAGTGATTAAAAGTCAAGCCCTGAAAACACAAAAAAAAAAAATGTCTTTGTAACGGAGAAGACCCATATGATTTATTTACCTGCTTCTTGTTGTAGGCATTCATAAGCTTCTCATATTCAGCCTTCTTTTTTGCAGCTTTGGCCTCATATGGAGCTTTTTCCTTTCCAGACCAAGTAGCAAAATATGTCAATAATCCACAGGACACAAATCTTAACTATTCAATTTCTCAAAGAAAATAGAAGTTATGATGTTGATAATATCTTAGCACAAAAGTTTCTCTATACACAAAAATAGATTCGTCAAGTTCCATACGAGTATATTCTGAAGCAGCAAAGGGGAGAAAAATTGCATAAAAGATGGAGACATTATTAAGAACTTACAGCAGCAGTCATGGATTTCCATTTCTCTCCTCCTGCTTTCCCAACCTTCACAATATTCAAGTAAACAAAATTACTTCTACTTTTCCACAAAACTTGAAAATAGAAAGCTAATTTTAGTCACAGATGCTTACTGCTGACACAGCCTTCACGTTAGGATTTTCTTTTTTGAAAGTCGTTCTAAATTCCTCCCTGTCATATGTGGCTTCAGTCAAAATACAAACTTCAAAGTGAAGCAAATCCCAGAACTAAAGCAATTGACAACTCCAAAAGAAACACAAAAATGCATACAAGAACACAAAGAAAGCACTGGGAGGCCTCTTAGGTTTATTAGGATCTTTCTTGGCCTTCTTCTCTCTCTTAGCTTCACGTTTCGTACTCGCTGCAACAGGAGCTTTCCTCTTCCCTACCTTTCTGAAAATAATAAATATACATATGATCCGTCAAAATAAAATTCTGGTAATTGCTGTATCCATGAAAAACGAAGAGTACGTAACACATAAGATATTAACACAACTTGTTTACACCACCATCTTCGTGGTCTAAGGGTCACCCTCAAACACCCAAACAAAATAAAATTCCACTAATTGCTGTATCCATGAAAAACGAAGAGTACATAACACATAAGATATTAACACAACTTGTTTACACCACCATCTTCGTGGTCTATCAGTCACCCTCAAACACCCAAACAAAATAACAATAAGTGGAAAGAATAAACCTCAATAGGATGATATTCTTGATCAGCTGGTAACTAAAAAAGCATATCATTAACTGAGAAACTGGACAGTTTAGGCATCAAATGATGGGCTAACCTATCATCAACTGGCTTCAGAGCTCCCTTAGTGTTCTTTGCTGCTCCCTTACCCTTAGGATTCTTCATGGTTACAAGAGAAGCACCTGCACACTCAAAATTATTCAGAAACTGCAGCTATTCAACAACGAAGCTAGTTATGTAGGTCATTCCCGGTTATTTGTAACAAAACCAATCGAAGACAAAATAACTCAAATAGTAGAACTAAAATTTTGCTAATAATTTGAAAAATATTCACTCATATCTAAGCTCATAGGACTAGAAGCTAATATCTCTTTGGCCACCGAGAAACTACAACAAAAGAAAGTAGAGCTTTCGAAATTGGAGTTCTCTCAACAACTAGAGAGAGGGGAAAAACAGAGTGGTAATCTTCTAAATTCTTATTTACCAACAGAGAGCTTCTCTAACTACCGTACGACGACTTCTACACTCATTCCAGACCCAAAAAGTTACTTCGAATAGATAACGGATACAAAAATTAACCCCAAAAAAAAAAAAGAAAAACATTTCCACCCTGCTCAATTTTCTTAGCAACCAAACGGGCAGACCAAAAGCTAATCATCACGAGAAAGTAGGAAAAGATAAAGATATAAACGAGGAAAGGAAACAAAATAGATCTAGAAAAAAAAAAACGACTATACCTTCGAGGAAGAAAACAAACTAAGATCTTCTTACGAGAGAAAGGAGACTTGGACCAGAATAAACAGAGAGAGAGAAAGAGAGAATAATATCGAAGACAGAACCGACCGCAGAAGAGATAAACGTGACCGGAAGTGGCAGTAAAACCTAAGGTTCTTAGCCTTCGGAGATATGCGGTCAGAGGGTCAAAGTGGTTTTACCTGCTACAGCCGGTAAGTGAAGGTCCAGAAGAGGATTATTTATTGATCAAAGAAAGCGCTTGGGGAAAATTAGGGATTTGATGAATAATTGGCAATCGATGGGATTTTAAGCGGTGGTGATGCTTGCCGCCAAATTATCCGGTACATGCAATGACATGGGAGCTATTTGTTGCACGTTTGTTTGGCTGACACGTGGGACGCTGATTATACGTGGACGAGATTTCTAGTTATTGGCTGAGACCACTAAAATTAACTGTCCGGTTCTTGAAAGGATGCAACCCATTCAACACGGGGAAATGGTAATTTTAATAGATTGACAATGATTCGAATTGTAGAAATGAAAGATTGATAATGATATTTTAAATACATAATAGTGATTTATTATTAATAAGTTTACATTTTGTTATTAATTATTTAGATAATTTTATTGTAAAAATTAAATAATAATGTTTTCAACTTAATACTTAATTAAGTTAAAAATAAATATTTTAGAATAAATTAAATTATTAGAAAAATATTTTTAAAATATATTTAATATTATTTAGGTTTACATAATTTTTTTTATTTTATCATTTATTACTAATTTTATAACACAATTAATTAAACATAATTGATGGATATCCAATCTACCAAAAATAATTTCTTACTCCAACAATAATTTTGAATTTATAGTAGTGACGAATAGAATCGAATTCCCAGGGAATTAAAAACTAATTTTTCTTTATGACCAAGAGCAAAACTTGGGGTTTTCGTTTTGATTGATTAAAGTGAACCAAGAGAACTTAAAACGGGAAAACAGAAATTAATTTCAGCAAATAAATAAGATACTAAAACAGTTAGGAATAGATTTCAAGTAGAAAAGTAGTTTTGATTCCAGTTACAAGATTGATCATTGATGCAAGAATAATTTTTGTTAGCTTTAATAAACTAGTTCTAGTTATCAGAGATACGCCTGACAATCAATTTTTTCTTAATATATTAATCAAGAGGCGCTCGTTAGTTAATTCTTGTTAATAAACAACCCTAAAGACACTCCTAAAATTTAGTTTATCAACAATATTAAAATTTAGAAAGACCTTATTCTAGTTAATGAATTCGACCATGTGATTGATTCAAAGCAAATTATATATTCTCTTAGTATTAGAATAATTCACCACCAACATCAAGACAACTTAAACAATTACATATTTATGAGTTTTGAATGGCAATATGCTACTCTATTGTATGCTTAATGAGCCATGTTAAACGAACAACAAATAACAATGATAACATTTGCAGATAGATATATAAATATTGAAGTTTAAATAAAAACAAAAACAAAAATAGTTAGATTTCACAATCCCAAAATGAAACTTCAACTAAATCTTTAATTGGAAAGAATATTTGTTTAACAACTCATGATGAGCTCAATACACAACATGATGTTTTTGTGACTACTCAAGAGAAAGAATGGTCCAGAAAGACGAAGTTTACTGCTGCTTTTTGCCTGCCATTCTCTTATATTTCCCTCCTTATTTAAAGGGCAAGAGGATTAGGGGTTTTATCCCATGAATATAAGGTTTTCCTATATGATCTCGATTTTCTTTCTACTTTTTAAAATCATCATTTTTCATGATTGGTTTTCCACTTTTCAGTAAAAATAGGATAATCTTTTAAATTTAAAAGTGTGCTGAGATATCAATATATACTGCTATTATTAGGGTCCATGTGACATCCCAAATGCTAATTAAGGCATGTGGATGTTAGATATAGAAATAGAATAACGAGTGCATGATAAAATTTTACACAGCAGAACTAATTAATACAAATCCCTTATAAATATATATGAGTTTCAATTATATACGTATAACTGAGGCCAAGTGGCGACAAAATACAAAGTCAAAATATAAAAGAATACCACTTTTTTCACTATACTATTGGACTCATCAGAGTGCGGGAACGATCATACACTCAAGTTTTGTGGATCCACGGGATCTTTATAAACTTCGATGGGTAAGTCAGCTAGTGGTTCCTCATTCTCTTGCTCATCCAAGGGAGCATGGAAAGAGTGAGTTCCATATGCTCAGTAAGAAAAATAATATTTAAATAATATCGTAAAATTTTAAAAGTGAATTATTCTAACATAAATACTTACTATTTGCCTACTTCGTAGATTCCTATATTACATTATGAAAATAATTTATTTATTAGATAAAAATATTATGTTAATATAATCAAACATACATACATCATACCAGATAATAAAGAAAATTAAATAAACAACAAAATTCTCATATTTTCATGTCATGCTTCGCAAAGTCGTTACGACTTCCATTTCTGAAGGTAGATACAGATTTTCAACTACCCATGTGGAATGACCAGATCATATATAAATGATGGCAATTTGCTCATGCAGATTTCCTGTTGCCCAAACCATTGTAAAATCTACAATTATAGTCGTACCAACCATAGTGGTCCTATTAGATATTTTATAGTCACAACAGTACTTAGCTAAAGGTTACACCTAATAGATATTCGCATCACCACTTTCGTTAGAGAGTACGCTGTCATCCACAGGGAGTGATTCTCTTACGTCTTTCCAGACCAGATGGGGGAGGGGGAAACAGTTACCCCAGATGGGGTTAGAGGAACAGATACCCCTCAGAGATAAAAAGTCAAATGAGATACTTGATGCATTATGCATGTCAATGCAGATACATACTAACGAGACACTCGATACATTATGCATGTCAATATAGATACATACTCAGACCATTCATGCTTCATTTCACAATTTTTTTTATTTTTTATTTTATAGGTAATCTTACCGGTTTCATATTATTTTAATTACATGCAAATCATCAAGTGTCTATAATTTACATAACATACTTGAAATCAAGAACAATTCAGCTTATTTATTAGACCTACAAACACAAAAGCATGCAAAACAGGTAAAATCACAATTATTAATTTAATAATTTTTTATTTAAAAATACCCCTTAAAACGTTTAAAAAAATACTATACCGAAACCTTAATAATTTCTTCTACGTCATTCTTCTTTTCTTTCTTTTCTTCTATCTCTAGATCTCTCTCTCTCTTTCTAATTCTTGAAAGATGGAAGAATGGAAGTGTGGGAAAAAATGGAAAGGCAAGGCCCTATTTATGAAAATGGGGAGCTGTCGGATTTGCACTAAGTGAAAAATTTGGTGAAGAGAGAGGAAAAAATATGCTTGGCATGAAAAACGAGGGAGGAAAATCTCCTTCGCTGGCGACAGCGATGCGTCGCCCAAGTTGACAACGGTGCACTGCCCAAGGCGGTAGTGGCCCGCTCAGCGTGCACATGAGCTAGCCTGGACGCGCACAGGCCCTAGGTGCACAGGGGCCTATCCGCGCAGGCCTGCTGCGCGGACAACGCGTGCACAGTATGCGGCACTTGTCTGTGCGTGAGGTAACACGTGGATGGTCTACCTGCGCGCGATAGGACGCGCGCAGGAGCTAGCCCCGCATCGTGCGCTCTATGCGCACATCCCGCACCAGCTGTGCTTGCGTGCACACGCACAGTGCGGAGGCGCCTGTGTGGGTAGCTCCCCTTTCTTGCGAGATTTTTCTCCTGTTTTTCTATTTTTTAAAACTTTAATTTTTTTTTAAAAAATAAACAAATAAACTTAAAATAAGATAAAATTAATTAAAATTTAAATAAACTAAATAATAAATTGGTATAAATTCATGAATTACATAATAATTTGAAAGTAAATTAATGAGTTCAATGCTGCGTAAAACCAATAAATAGGGTCTTTTAATAAATTAAGTACAGTGATAGGCGAGGTGTTACATCCGCCCACCTTAAAAAATTTGGTCCCCAAATTTATCTTGAACAAGTCCGGATACTTCTCCCTCATCTCGCTTTCTAGCTCCCACGTTGTTTCTTTTAGGGTATGATACTGTCATCACATCTTCACCATGGGAATCGTTTTATTGCGTAGGACCTTGTCGGTCCACCCAAGAATCTCTATGGGAACTTCCTCATAAGTCATGTTGGCTTGTACTTGCACCTCATCGTGAGGAATGATATGAGAAGGGTTAGAGTGGTACCTCTTTAGCATTGAGATATGAAAGACGTCATGTAAACCTGTAAACTCTCGGGATAGAGCGAGACAATATGCCACGGGTCTAATGCACTCGATGATCTGAAAAGGTCCCACGTAACGAGAGTTTAACTTTCATCTTTTCTTAAACCGCATCTTTCCCTTATAGGAAAAAACTTTGAGGAAAACTTAGTCTCCCATGGCAAATTCCAAGAGTCACTTACGATTGCCGGTGTAACTTTTTTGACGGCTCTAGATGGTAACTAAGTTCTTACGAATGATTGCGACCTTTGCAATGGTCTCTTGAATGAAGTCTGGTCCCAAATGGCACTGGTTCTCCACTGCGTTCTAATAGGTAGGAGAATGGCAAGGCCTACCGTACAATGAATCATACGGAGTCATGCTGATGTTGGAATGATAACTATTATTATAAGCAAATTCACATAGGGGAAGATATTCATACCAATTATCGCCAAAGTTAAAGATGCAAGCACGCAACATATTTTCTAATGTTTGGATTGTACGTTCTGACTGATCATCTGTTTGGGGATGCTAAGTAGTGCTGAAATACAATCTAGACCCCAAAGCTTCATGAAAACTGTCCAAGAAGTGGGAGGTAAATCGAGAATCTCGATAAGATACAATGGATAAGGGAACACCATGAAGTTGAATAAACTCATCAACATATAGACAGACTAATTTGCTGGTGGAGTTAATGGTTATGATAGGTAGGAAATGAGCTGTCTTGGTTAGTTTGTCAAAGATGACCCAAATAGTGTTCCGACCATAACAGGTCCTGGGTAATCCAATGACCAAATTCATGGTTACATGCTCATACTTCTATTTAAGGATCGGAAGACCTTGTAACAAACTGTTAGGCCTTTGATAT